TTTTGGTTTTTGTTTTTTTTTTTTTTTTTTCTTTTTGTAGCTGTTACTCTTTGGTGTACAGACAATTGCTGGGTATATAAGCATAAATAATGTTTTATCAGGAATTCATATTATAATTGCATTATAACCTATAAGTTATTGGACCATTACCTATATGTTGCCATTAAAATACATAGTTAGCTAATGATTATATTTCATTGCCTAACATATTAGTAGCCTAAGTACCTACCATAACTAAGTGGTCTGAACAAAAGTTTAATGAGTAACACTGTAAAGACACCACCCACTGGGGTAAATTACTTAAAAGATAAAGACTTACTCATTGGTAATTTATAAAGCAAATTGAAAAAATGAATTTTTAAAAATTGGAATAAAGATTTTAAATGAATGGCTTTACCAGTATTGCTTCTACAGAAATTGACAGCAGTCATATATGAGACCTAGAATCATAGATTGGGCTTTCAAGGCTTCTTTTTTGGTAGGTAGATGAACACTGAATTCAGCTACATTTCACATATTTCTTGGGCTTTATACATTTCAGTGTATACATATGACTTGTTTAATTTGAGAATTAAAGAAATTATGTAAATCATGTTCAGAGCTGACTTCGATAACAGAAATTGAGGAGCCTGTTTTTAGACAGTCAGAGATAAAAAATGCTTTCCAACAAAAAGGTAGTTAGCTAGTTAGTATGCAAGGGAAAACACAATCAAAATAAATACAAGAACACAGTATGCTGTATATCTGAACAGTGCTTAGATATCATGCTCTTTGAATGAATTATTTGTATTTGCTCCCCTTTCTGCTAGCATCATAGTCTTAAAAAAAAAAAAAATGACAGCAGTCATAAAACAAAGATTGAAGATGAAGCCTGGAGATCTATAACTCAGAAAACAGAAGCAAGATGCATTGCTATCTGCCAGATGACAAGCAGATGAGCATCCTTCCACTAGAAAGGATGTAATGTCACTTAAAAGATCAGTGCTGACTGTGGATTCTGGGCAGTTGCAATGGATTGTTTGCTTGCTTGGATGCTGCTTCTCATCAGGAGAGGTTTTTATGGTAATTGGATCAGACTTAATATCTCAGATATTCATATAACCATAAAATGGTTTGGGTTGGACCTTAAAGATTGTCTAAACCCCCTGCCATGGGCAGGGACACCTTCCACTAGACTGGGTTGCTCAAAGCTTCATCCATCCTTGGCCTTGAACACTTCCAGGGGTGGGGCAGGCACAACTTCTCTGGGAAACCTGATCCAATGCCTCACAGTAAGGAATAGTGCCTCACCACCCTCACAGTAAAGAATTCCTTCCTGATATCTAATCTTAACCAACCTTCCTTCAGTTTAAAGTTATTTTTTCCTGCCCTATCACCACATGCCCTTCCCTCTCCAATTCTCTTGTGTTGTCACTTTCTGTTCTGTACAATAACATTATAGCCTGGTTTTGATGATGATAAGACCCCTCTAAAGAGGCAGAGTCCTTTTGCTCACTCTCCTCATTTTCTTCAGTCGGGAATTACCTTTTTTGTGCCACAGCAGGTTCTGGACTGTAATACAGCGCTGCTAAAAAATTGCACTCCTTTTCAACTGCATGACAGAGACAAGCATTGTAGAGCCCTGCTTCCTATGGAGAGAGGAACTTGGGGTCAGGGCTTTTGCTCTAAGGAGCAGGAAGTGAGTGGGACAAGGTATGGGGAAGGTTGTGCATACAACCTGCACACAGCCTGACCCATGACACAGAGTACAGGTGGCTGCTGCCATCCTGGCCCCAGGGGACAGTCTCCTCCATTGGCTGTCCTCATCCCACTGCCCTCCAGTCAGGGAAATGGGATAGCTTGGCTCACAGATCCTCTCAGAGGATAAACATCATGTTCTTCAAAAGATGTCAGGAGACACTGTATCAGGAGACGTATCAGGAGATACTTCTGTTCACTGTGCTTCTGCCGATAAAATAAACACTGTAATTGAAATCTGCATTTAATAAAAGTTGTTATGCATGGGGACTTCAGCAGCATACTTTGTTTGAACTCTAGTCTTCATAATCAGTTTTTTCTTGCTAATCTCTAATCTCTGTTACGTTCTACTAACAGCATGGGAACTGATGGCTACCCAAGAAATACCTTTTATATTCAGTTTTGTGGTTAAAATGACATTTGGAATCTGGGACTCTTAGCATCACCAAATCATCTGGATTTTCTCTGTGTTTAATATTGTCCTGAAAATAATGAAACTTAATCTGTACAACAGGGCAATTTGAGGTATAGTGAGCAGCCAAAGAGCTCCTAACAGAAGAACAAACTATCATTTATCAGTGGCTCAGGGATGCTGCCTCTGCATGGGTAGCTAGTCCACAGCATAGGTAGAAGTTAATTTGCCTTTGGTGTCCCTTGGAATAAAAAAGCAGGGAGGGAGACAATTGCTGCAGAGGAGCAGAAGCATTGCAGTGTGCAAGCTGCACAGCGATGTTAAACCATTGAACTCTAGACCTGTTAATTTCTGATTTAAGGATATCATATGGGGAGTGTGCTGGCAATCTGGTTTGATGTTTGTGTTGCAGGAGCTACTTCCTAAGGCTTAGACAGAGATACCGACTGTGTTGTGTGTTATTTTATCAGCTCAACTCACAGTTTTTTAGAGGAAAAATAATAGGATCTTTCACTACCTTAAACTTATAGTAAGCAATTAATCTAGTTCTCTGGAGGAGGTCATAGAGAAACTAATGAGACACTGACTGAAGTTTATATTTCTTTTACTGATTGGTCTCTAGTGAAAAACCCCAGAAGGTAAGATCACTGAGCAAACTGTGTAGGAAATTTCCAGTAAAGCTCCTGTTGATTCTGCTGGTCTTGTGAGAATCAATTGACGAGCAGAATTGGTCACTTTTCTCATATTATTTCCTCTCATCTACTCCTCCTTAATAAGCATTTCAAAGATTTGGATTAAAAAAAAAATAGCATATTGAAAGTGCAAGTTAGACTACAGTGTTGAACCATACATTCAGGCAAGTTCTGATGCCTTGAAATATACCAACCACTGGAATTCCATAAAAAAGATTATATTGAAATCTCTGTAATTCAAACCACCTTATTGTAATGCCACTTTGTGTCAAGTGTTCCTTCCCTCTGACCTCATTAGGCGTGCCTTGTCATTAGATACACTGTTACTAAAGAGTTTTAACTTAAAAGCTGCTTTGATTAATGCTTGGTTGGACTGAGGATTTATTGTGTAGGATTAACTAGATTTAAAAATGGCAAAATGCCTTAGTAACTTTAATGCCAGACTTTAATGAGAAGCAGAAGTAAACTCCAAGGACCCTTATGATTTTTAATGTGGACTAAACTCATGTGCTTGTTACCTTAATGTCCTGTCCTATTTTATATACAAGTACTCCAATAATTCCTAGAGAACAGTAGCCTAGAAAGTGTATTACAAATGTGTAACCTGAAGTATGTACATATTTTTAATGAATCACAAATTTTGATAATTTTATAATCAGATTTATTCAGTATTATTATCAAATAGAGGAAAACCCTTTGCACTGGTTTGGGCCTTTTAAATTAAGAAACAATATGGGAATAAGACAAAACTAGACTGGCAAACATTTTTCCCAATAAATAATGTACTGACAATGTAGATGAAAAATGCATTTTCACATTTTTATGTAATCTGCTAATCGAATTTCTTTTTACTGTCTTCTTAAGTTCATTAAGTGCTCCTGAAAGTTTATAAAGTTGGCGCTTCTAGAGTTTAATAACCTTATTTTTTTACCATTGATCACATATTTTAGTATATGATACTGCCAAGAAAATCCAGACCATTCTCACATCCGACAACATTTGGTCGTCTCCTTAAATCCTACTAGACTTGATAGGATTTAAGCATATACTTAAAAGGTAATGCACTGCTCAATGAGGGCCTTTGTATCTGACATTTTTTCTGTCCATGCTATCTTCGCTGAGATAACCAAAGGGCACTGATTTATTATTAGACCTAAACAGGAAAAACTTTCTCATTCAAAAAGCTCGTAAACTTTTTTTTCTGAATTGATGGTGAGTTCCCAATTTTGTTTATTTTTCAGTGAACTTTCAATAGTAGAAGCATGTATTTAAATTTTTGTTTCGGCACAGTTATATGCTGTGAGAATTAAGCACAATGTACTTATAAGCAATATCAACAGTTCTGGTACTGCAGTTAGGATGGTATCCAGCCGAGTTCTTGGGCTGTAATGCCAAATTTCTCATTGAAATCACACATGTGTTGGACATGACTTAAATAGGATTACTCACTCAAGCAAATTTACACAAGGGTCTAAGGCGTATATCCAGCTTCCAGAGGGTAAGGAGCCTGCATTCTCATTTGGCTCTGGGCCTTGGGCACTTGCATAACATTGCTTGTGTAACTTACCCTGCCAAAAATGAAACCTGCATCAACATGGTTACTCATACCAGAAAAATTGTGCCTGTGGACAAGTGATGACAGTCAGGGATCCTGCTTCCTTTTGTAACACACTGAAAACTTCTGTTTTCACTGATGATTGAAGCTCTTTAGCCAGTATTGCCATTGAAGTCCCTATTGATAATTTATGTACCAGTCCCTATTGATAATTTCTATTTCTGTTGGGTTTTTTTTGTCACGTCTGGATTCTTTACTTGACTCATTACTATTATTTGTTTTTCCTTTTTTTTTTTTTTTAGGGAGAAGGCCAGCAAAAACGAAGGACAAAAAAAAGAAGAAAAAGAATTTGATGGAAAGGGCTCAGAAGCAGCACAGCATCTTTTTAGCAACAGATAAAACAAGCCAGTAAAGACTTGATTTTCCTTAATGTATTTTTTTGCAAAGTGCACAAAAGCTGCTATATGCTCCTGCCCATGGATGCACTACAATTCAGCTGCTTTGACAGTATTGGTGGCAAATAACTTGTGAAAATAAAGCCCACAAGCTTGTTTGTTTTATTTATATACTTTTTATTTTATTTTTTCCTTTCATTTTTGACCTGAAGACTTCAAGGTCAGGAGTGCACTGAGCTGGATCTGTGGAAGTGATCCTGAAGTGCATCAGTGATATTGTTCTGAGTGCCTGGTCAACGTGTTGTCAAGGAAAGAAACTTACACAGCACCAGTAGGTGGACTTGTGCATTTTTAAATAAATAGGGGGAAAAGGAAGTCTTGGAGGTGTAGGTACAATTGGATTTATGGCCTTTGTTTCCTATATTTGTACATTTCAAGAGTAAATGGATATGACTTACCTACTTAGCGTTAATGTACATTGTTCTCACCCCTGCTACGTCGACACAGTTGTGTAATAAAACTGCTTTAAGACAACGTGCTGCAGGATTCACTGCTCAGACCCACCCAAGCACAACAGACTCTGTGTGTACATATTACTCTGTCTACATATAAATGAGCATATTTACTGTACATCTATGCATTTTTATGTATAATACTTTATACATGTTTAAAGGTATGTCCGTTTGGTTCTAGTAATGTACTTTAAATAATCCAGTAAATGTTTACTTTTTGCTATGTTTTAACTATCTTCTCATGTTTCTCAATAGTTACAAACTGGATTTCTTTTTCTCATCTGCAAAGCACGCTCATTTGCAGAACTACCTTGCACTGACCCTCACAATGGAGTGTCAGCTCTGAAGTATACTTGCCAGACTAGGAATCCACAAATTCTTTCTGCTATTCAGTACTTCTGTCTCAGCTCCCATGAATTTTGTCTCAGAAAAAGACGATTAATGTTTTTTAAGATGAGGCACGATGATGATAGAAGTTTTGAGTGTCAGGAGAGAATTTACTTGTAAAGTTCTTGGTATCTAAGACTCTATGTGTAGTTTGGGGTTTTATGTTGGTTTTTTTTTTCCCATTGTAATGCAGTGTTTAATTTCAGTTAGTCCTGATGCAGTCAGATAAGAAAACAAATAATTTTTCTCCCTGAATAAGGGAGAAACAAAATAAAGGTCATGTAAGGTCAACCATTCAAAAGTATAGAAAACACCAATTCCCCAGTATTGCTGATTATTTGTAGATGCTTAACAAATTTATTCTGCAGCTGTTGTTTGCTTTGGGATTTTTTTTGGGAGGAGAAGTAGAGACAATTTTCTGTGTAGGACATTAAAATGGCACAGGATATGTAATTTGGTAATCTAGCATTATTGAGCTAGCATTCAAGGTGATTTTTGGATACCTGACAGGGAAAGCCTACACTAAAATGCCTGTCACTTAAGAGAAATTATTTCTCTTTTAGACCTAAAACTTGCATACTACCTACACAAAAATAAATGAAGCAGCAAAACAGACCCCAGACCTCCACAAACCCCTTTTGGAAATACACTTTAGAAAAATCCCACAAATTCCAGTTTTAGTTTTATGGGCTGTATGCTTTTCAAATAAATGAGGGAAATAAAGCATCTATAAGCACAAATATATCTGCATTTATCTATGACAAGTGTTACTACCAAAATGTACATATGTTAGACACATATGAATGTTCCATCAAACTGCTTGTGGACTTCAACTCAGCCGTGAGGTTTTCACTGTATGTTCATATTTACCTAGAACATAGTAATGTTACGGACAGTATGATTGCTCTAATCCTGGGATGCTATTTTGGACATAAAATGCTCACTTCAAAAAAAAACCAAAACAAACAATGAGATCTGTAGCTGTCTGTTTGCTTATTGGTTATCAAATTTGGCTGTAAGTTCATTTAATGCCCTCATACAAGCCTTTCAGTAGTGGTTGCAAATATTGTATTAGGTGTGTCATGGAAAGAATGCTACAAAATACAATAAAATGTGTCACAAGCTCCTGAGCAAAATATTTTTGGTCATTTTTAATTCAAATAGCATATTCTTTTGGAATTTAATACATGTAGAAAAATTGCAGAAGGTGGGGAGATGCAGATTTTCTTCCACTGGAGTAAAAAATGTGAGGGTTTTCCATACAGCTGTTTTGTTTGAAAAGACCCTGAGCATTAGATATACATTGATTTCTCCTATCCCAGTCACCTTCACACCAAGAGTTTTCTTGGGAGTGTAGAATGAAAAACAATTATGCCTAAGCAGCCCTCTGTAGTTCCTCCTTTGTCCTGGACATCCTGCCTTTGCATGGTGGACCCTGTCAGTGTGTTCATAGCACTGGGGTTGTGTTCTCCAGCTTTGGATGTTGGAAAGGACTGTTCCTTGGACATTAGGAAAAAGCTTTGCACTGAGAAGCTCTTTGGTCACAGGCTCCTCAGGGAAATGGTCATGGCACCAAGCCTGTCAGGCTTCAAGGAGTGTCTGGACAGTGCTCTTGGTAATATGGTTTAATTTCAGGTATTCCTATGAGGAGCAGAGATTGGATTCAGTGATCCATATGGGTCTTTTCCATCTTAGATATTCTATGATTTGATGAGTCTATGACCTTGAGAGATCAGCTAGTCAAAATATTTGCTTGAAACAGGGCTACTTCAAAGTTATCTTCAGATACTGTTTCTTGATAAAGTGAAGAAGATCAGGTTTCCTAACCTGGATAATCTGTGCTCATTGTGGCTCTTACTTCCTTTAAATTTGTTCAGAAGTGGACTTACAAAGGTCGTAGTTCTTTTCTGATAAGCAACTGACCAGGTACAAATGCCACATTTTCCCTCCTTTCATGGCTGTTACTGCTTTTTGAATCTGTTTCTCTCAAACAGCAGAAGGTTGCAGCACAGTGTAACTTTTGTGTTCACAAGGCTTTTATGCCCTAGTTTAATGATTCACTATTGGAAATTTATTTTAAACTACAAAAGATTCAAATTAGGAGGACAAAGAACTTTATATGCTGTAGTCATTGGTTTTAAAATGCTGTTATGTTGCTATGATGAGTAGAAAGTGCTTTTTCAAAACCATACATTATTTTATATCTTATTAACGTGTCCCAGAAAAGACAATTGTATAGTGCACTGCACATTCAGGATCTCTCTATTCTTAGTTTGCCTTAGCTTATCCTGGCCTCCTAATATCTGTCTCTAAATTAAAACAAAACAAAACCAAACAAAACAACACCAGGAAAAAAAAAGGGGGGGAAAAAAAAAAAAAAAAAAAAAAAGAAAAAGAAAAAAAAAGGAAAAAGAAAAAAAATTTAAAAATACCCCAGATGCATTTTTAAAGCAATTATTTTGTGGTTGACTGGTCTTCATTGCATCTCAGCTACTCTTGTTAGTGAGCAATTATTGTTGTATGTTTCTTTGTTTATTCTGGGGGGAAAATCCAATGTTGCATTCCACATTATGGTAATGCAATCCTTCCATATTACAAATGTTGCTGTAAGGAAATTGTTCTCTTACACCTGTATGCTCAATATAAAGATGTCAGCAAAAGAATAGTGAATAGCTATAGAGCTTACATGATGTGTCTTCATTTATCAGTATGAATTACAGAAAACTGCAGAGCGGAAAAAAAAAGTAGAATTTCATCCATGTTAACTAAAAACAAACCAAAGATCAATTAAGTGCCATGTTAACTTTTTTAAACAAAAATGTTGCTAAAATCCTGATTGAAACCTCATAAAATGAGAAGACAGATCTTTTTCAGACAGATTAAAATCAAATTCAGTGCTTCAGCTTTTTTATACTGATGAAATGGAATATAGAATTAAAATAACCAGATATTTCTGGCACAAGTGCCATGTTTTTTTAAAGTAGATGATGTTACTGAAGGCTGGTGCCACTTACCAGAGGGTATGAGAGTTTTGAATTCAAACTCTTTCTTCACCAACAAAATGTATTCGTCTTTTGACACTAGTCCACTTTCATGTCCAATGGTGTAAGCCAGCACGAATTCCAGTAAGCTCTAGACTGAAGTTATTTTGGACTGACACCAAGAAGAACAAAATGTACCCTTCTGAAAGTATAACCCAGAAACCACTGTCAGCTTTTTGTTTAGTTCTTTACCGAAAGCTCTGTGCTGAACCTGGCATAGTTTCTTTTATGAGAAGCCTCAGCCTCAGGACTGAGGAAAGGACATTAACTTTAGGAAGTATTAGAGCAGCCTGATCTGCAGGACATCTGGGAGAAAAGCAGCCCAGCATTTGAAGTGCAGTTCCTCTCAGAAGAGAAAAACTTTAAGAGAAGTGTGACTAGAGAGTGCATCCGAAGTGAGCCCAGACTTTAGTCCATTGCCAAACTCTTCCAGACTTCAACTGATTTTTTTTTGATGCAAACTAGTTCTGTTTATGTCTAATAAACATATGTCTTCAACCCCAGTGAAGCTGTGTACTTACTTAAAGGGCCAGTAATATATCTGTGGTTGTGCCAGCTGCAAAAATGCTCCCAGCCTCCTTGTTTTCAAATTGTGTCTGCAGTGACACTTGTGTCACACTTGATTTTAATTGGGCAATACTGATGAAGCTAACTAACAGTTCATAGACCACAAATGAATAAACGCTAAAAATGAGGGTGGTTTGTTCTACCCCTGTGACTTTTCAAAATAGAAATTCAGCTCAAGAAAGCAAACATGTCTTGGCTTGCAACTATTTCTTAGCTTCCCTTCAGACTTTAAGGGGGCTTTATGAGAAAGATAAGAGTTTTGGGGATTTAGTTGGGGTTGTTTGGTTTTATTTTTTTTTCCCTGATATCTTTTTTTTTTTTTTTTTGTCAGAAACTGCAGTGAGACTTTGTTTACTTTCTGTTTCTGAGTGGACTTGGTTGCCATCTACAGAAGCTAAGGGCCACAACTGCAAAGGAGCTCCTGATATTTGCTCTGGAATTGTTTCAGTCTTTTATTTATTTGTCTTGTGGCAGGTACATGCAAAGTCTCAGAGACATGGAGTGCAGCCACAGGATTTCTCTGTCACAGCCTGGTGCTCTCCTTTTGGCCTCATATTCCTTGTTATGCTGTAGCCTGGCTTCAGCAGGAGCAGTGAAGTTTTTCTACCGTAAACATCTTCTTGTCTGCATATTGTCTTGGCTAGGGCATGTGATTTCTAACTCTAGGGCTGATCCTAGTACTTTATTTTGTGGTCAGATATTTTCTCTCTAGAGAAAGTTAAAGAGAAATTCAAGGACTAAAGGTCTATAAACAGATTATGAGAGGCATGTGTGTAACCTCTCACAGCTATAATCTAATACATGAATAGGTAAATGTATGGTAAATGTAACAACCATCCTTGATCCAGTGATTGCAGATGCTGAGGGAGTATGAGATGAATGGACAGCAGATAATGGCTCAGGTATTACACAGTATTCCCCATTGCCACTGTTGGAGACAGAATATTAAACTATTGGTTTGACTTGTTAGAGCTTCTCTTTTAAGCTTCTATGGAAAAGTATGTTGTGTTTGCTGCTCGACTAAGATAGTTTAGATAATGAGTTGTCTGCCCTTGTTTTGGGTTCATAATGAATTTATAAATTCAAATAATTTTGATCCCAGTTCAATGGGACTGTTTAAAGCCAAAGTCTTCGATCAGTTCTCTTGGGACTGTTGATGAAGGCAGTCAGTGATCTTAGCAGGGAAGGCAAAAGGTCTTTATCCCCTAAAGGTGTATTTGACTTTGAACTAAAACTGTGACAGTTAATGACAAGGTGATAGATTGTAGAAACCTGGCAACAGGAAGAAATATAAGGAAGAAATATTTTTCAGTCTTAATTTTATATGCAGTAATGATAAATATGTGTGAATGCTGAATGCTAGCATTTTAAAGATCTGTAATGAGATGAACAACATTGTGTTTCCTCTGTATGTAAGTAACTGCAGTTCCACAATGCTGATTATTTGAATGAAGCAATATATCTTCATTTTTACTCTAATTTTGGGTTTATTTTTTCCTTTCATGCTAACAGTGTAGCACATGGATTTGGGGGTTTTGCCTACTCTTTCTTCCCCTCCCCTCCTGCTCCCTGGTACCCTGCCTGCCATAATTCAAGGGATTCCCACAAGCCCAAAGCTGCAGAAGCTTTGCAATACACAGCCAACTTGGATATGTTTTGGCATGTATTTTCAAGTGACACAGCCAGGCACTCTGAA